ATATATATATATATATATATATATATATATATATATATATATATATATATATATATATATGTATTATTGAGAAAGCTACTTACATGAAGTAGTTAATTCCGCACGAATATTGTTGTTGTCCAAAACTGAAGTTCTATAGTCTAAACTTAGCAAGCTATAATCTTAGATAGCGTATCGAAGTGTTTCCGACTTAGAGAAAAAGAAAACCAAAGCAGCGAGTAGCCGTGGCACCGTGAACGGCTGCCATGTTAGAACGGTACTGTGTATGTTTCCCAAAATGTATTTCGTATGGAGCAGCATATACATTTACTAATGTGATGATCATTCCTTTCTCACATGTGAAAGTAATATTAACAATTCGATAAAAATATATAATCTATGTACCTCTTCATATATATTTTAATATGTAATATATGTATTTATATATCAGTTAATCAATTTTACTGTTTAGCAGCGAATAATTTAAAGGCAATTTAGCTGATCTTTATAGCGATTATGACTAGCAAAATGAAGTATTTCTTTACGCTCTAAAAAGAAACTATGATTTCTGTGTATTATTTGTTGAAATAGAGACAATGTGTGCAATGTAAGTTATTGTTCTGTAATATAGTCCGATAAATTGGTTCGAACGAATCTTCGTGTGTATTTAAAATATTTCCTCTTTAACGCTTTCTCACGATCATTACTCTGCAATGTAATTTATTCAATACGAATATTACTTATGAGACATGTCAAAAGCGACAGGTTGTTTTGGATAATGAGTAAAATACATAGAACTTAAAATCTGTGTTATCTTTGTAAGGTCTTTCTTTCTGTCTTTTTCGAAATATGTATGTGATATACTCACATGATAATGCAACGCAGCAGATTGCTCTAATATACTTATATTATCGTGTATACGTCATTGCAATAAATATCGAATTATTTAAATACATGTTACTAATTAATAAATAAATGAAAGAATAACGGGCAATTTTCAGAGCCAATGTTTTTCAAATCGTTTAAATCTGTTTTAATAGTAGTTTCGACAATAGTTTTACATATATCTAGATAAAATGTATTTTCCTCATATCCAGTTTTGTAAATATCATGTGAATTGATTAAGTATCGTTTAATATAAACTTGTTTGAATGCATAGAACAGATCTGAATATTAATAGTACCCATAGCTTTCATGTATTTGACACTTAAATTGTATTTTGTCACGCAATGAACTTCTTAAATTAGCAGCAAACATATTAATTTTGATAGTCAAATTATACATGTATATATAAATTTCACTGTTTGATTCATATGATAAATTTATGAGAACATTTATTGATCTCTTGCATTTTAATCCAATATTGCAAGATGGTACCACACTTCATTACAATATAAAGAAGTAAATAATATCCGTTGCCTAACAATTTTAAACGCTTTTACTACAGGCTAAAGTCTGCATTCTGTCCTGATTGAAGAAGGCTGATAACAATCTACAATAATCCGATTTTTAAGGAATATCAATATATCGCATATACGTGTATATGACTATATAGGATAAATTAAATTCGCACTTGTATCTGCTATATACACGTCCGTACGACTATACGCGTGATGTTATGTATACGTCTCTCTCTCTCCCTCTCCCCCTCTCTCTTGTTCGATTGAATAATATATGTAAGGAACTTGTGGAAAGAGAATATTTACAATTTTATTTTGATCACACGTTTTGTGAATCTTCTGTTTAAATCATTGTAAGCAAAATTTATGGTATTGTGTATTTGACTATATAATAAATACGTGCAAATTGTAAGTCAATCAGAAATCCAACTTTTGATAATATACATATACTTGTTTATTATAAGAGTACTGTATTATTGTTAAATTCATATGTTACACAATAGTAGAATATATCTTGCAGAACATAGTATATATGTGTGTGTATATATATATATATATATATATATGTATATATATATATATGTTTGTGTATGAAAGAAGTGTAACATGTTTAATTGCATATGAAGTTCATATGAATAACACTTCTTTTTATTTGGAAAAAATTGAGACGCTGTGCATCCACTAATACAGTTGCTAGTTTTATTATAATAATTTATATATTAAGCCGGTTCTACATTAGTTGCAAATCGTAAGAAAATTTACCAATCACAGTCGATCGTTCTTCTTACGATCAAAGAAGAATTGACTGTGATTGGTCAATTTTCTTGCGACCTTGAGACTTACAACTAATGTAGAACCGGCCTTAAACAAAGCTAAGTTCTTTGCGCTAAGTATTCGTTAGTCTTCAGCTAAAATCGTGGAATGCTTTTATGGGCGACAACGCTCCAAGAAACGCGGATATAGGCACACTTCACGTATGTGATATCTGTTTAACAACCAACATAGGAACCGTTCCAGCCCTAATCCGTAACCGCCATGAGGACAGGATCCGTACTTTCGCTGCAAAGCAAGTAACATGATCCAATCTATAACGTTGCTTTTCTGTTGTGACTTGTGTTTTATTATTATATATTATTGTTTTGTCTTTCTTACCTGATCCGTGTACCAATAGTACGGAGTCGGATCAATATTTTCACGACTGTAACCTTCCATCATTTCATCATAGTCCCAGATACGCATGGAGCCGCCGACGATTTCACCCACATTCGGCAAAAGCACGTCAACAGACTCGGTTAAGCGTCTATTTTCTGTGCAACGTTGCATGTAAAACGATTTTATCTCAGCGGGAAAACGGCAAAGCATTATTGGTTCGTTAATAGCGTCTGTCATTTTCCTTTCTGGCATCTCTGGAATATCCTGGAAAGACACAATATACAATTATATATGCATATAGTCCAAGCGTAAAGAGTAAAAGACTAAGGGTATATTATTTATACCTCTCCGAATTCGTAAAAGCTACCGTCTTCTTTTGTGATATTGTTCTCCTTCAAGTATTCGATCGCGTCACTGTAATTCATACGCTTGAAGGGCTTCTTAGGCACTTTAAAGTTTGGATTTAATTCCTGGACGAGACTACCGAGCGGCGATTGTAAAACTCGCTCAACCACGTCACAAACCAAGTCCTCCAATCGATCAAGCAGATCATCAAATGTAATAAATGGACATTCTGCTTCAATGTGCGTAAATCTAAAAAGATGAAGAATATAAATGAATTGAATATAATTTAGACGAAATATATTTGTATGTACGAACTCTGCAAGATGACGACGCGTTCTTGATTGCTCTGCCCGATATGATTGAGCGATACAATATACATCTCCCATCGCCGGAAGGCATGTTTCAAGATATAATTGAGAACTCTGAGTCAGAAAAGCGTTCTCCCTAAACACAATATAATTTTATTAACTTGTAATCGTGACATTAATAGCTCGCATTTGTTTGTGTATTCTATACATACCCAAAATAATCTAATTTGAAAAGAGTTGAACCACCTTCCACTTGAGTTTGCACTAAAGTCGGTGGAGTAACTTCATGATAACCGCGATCTTTATAATGATCCCTAAACGCTTGCGTTAGTACAGATCTCATGATTAAAATCCTAGATGTCTGAAATAACAAATTCCTCTTAATCTCAGTAAAATTGTAACTAATTGCTGAGAATTTCAGAATTTTTCTATTATACATTTTCGCCTCGTATCATTATATGCCTGTTGTCCAACTGTACATCAGGCAAGGCTTCTTCATTCAAAATTGAGTCTGCACCACCTGGAGGTGATGGACCAACAAGTTTCCAGTAATCAGCACATAGTTCGTGTCCACCAGGTGCCTGAAATTAAATAATAATAACACAAGCATATATTAATCAGATGCAGAATATATCAATGATATTTGTACAACATAGTTTATCATATTAGACATACACTTTTCCCTTCAGGAACAATTTTTAAAGTTCCAAACACTTGAACAGCAGCTTCTGTGGCAAGGACCAAGGCATTGTATGTTTGACACAACTTGTCACTCAACACACACTGTAGAAAGCCTGTTCCATCTCTTAGTGTGATGAACATAAGAGCCTTGCCTATAAGAACATTCAATAAGATATTATGTAAACAAAAATAAGTTTAATAATATTGCATACCTTGTCTTCTTAATCTATGCACCCATCCATATAACTTAACCCTTTCATCTCTATGATTCATAGCTTCTTTTATTTTAATTTGTCTTGCATCTGGTAAAGATTTATCCTCTTCTATAACAATTGCCTTAGCTTCTTCGAGATTCTTCAATCTCTTCTCTTCATCTTCTACTAGTTTTTTTTCCTTTTCCTCATTTTTGTACTGTTCTCTAACCCAGATTTTTTGTATCTTTTTTAATTGAGATTTAGATGCCGGTTCATACTTCTTATCATTGTCACGAGAGTCCTGATAAATGACTGGAAAGGGCTCTTTACCAGCATGACGCATTGCTGCTAAAATAGTTTTATAAGGGTTGATTTCTGAGCCATCTCCTGTTTCATCATTGCCATTCTTTTCTGATGTATAAATGCCTTCTAGAATAGTACAATTATATTTTCATTTGTATATATATTTGTAACTATTTGTATTAATAATAAGCCATATGTCAAGTGTGAATTCATTGTGTACATATATGCAAAAAATTTTTTTTATATATTTTTATTCATTATTTCTGTTATATCTTATTACATTAATCTGATGAAACACTTACCTAGTGATGTCATCTCTGTTTCAGATATTTCAACCGATACACCTGCTTTTAAACTGGATATTCTATAAGAACACATATTTTATCATGTTACAATGTTCTGAATGCAATTTTATGTTAATAGCGATATTTAGTAATATTAGTATATAAAATAATACAAATATAGAAAAAATAATTAATAAATAGTACATAATTAGTAGTATTATTATATAAATAATACAAATATAGAAAAATAATAAAATATAACAATACCAATTTTTAGTGCGATACATTAAACGATGCGGTAAAACCATGTGTTATAGCTAATATACTGTCATAAAAAGTATTTTATAGATTTTATAAATGTATCCTAACCTTCCCGTATTCTTTCTTCTATTAGCGTGTGCACTTTGAGTAACGTGCGATTAATTCGCTACTATATATTTATGCGTTATAAATGCAATAAATTGCAACGTTTCATCAGCAGCGTTTTTCGGTCATGTTATAACACGAGGTCCACTACCATGGCTGCGTTCCGAAATTCACTGCCAGTAGTGAAAACCTATAGTTTATGTCACGTATACTATAGATGTTCAGTACTGGCAGTGAATTTCGGAACGCAGCCCATATTCGTAGTAAAATCGAAATCGTAGTACGGCTCAACGGCAGGTGAGACGGACTTTTAAAAATCGTTTACAATGCGGTTGAGTCTTAAGGGCCATTTACAATAAGCCATTAATTAAGTGATCTGTTCTTTTTAGATGCACTGCTGAACTGGTGCAATAAATTAAAGTGAGAAAAAATATATTTATCTCATTCTAACTTATTGCACCAGTTCAGCAGTACAGCTAAAAAGAACAGACCAAACATCTAGTAAATTCGTTCACTTTTCACACAAAACCATAATAGGCTCCCTGTTCACTTCGTATAAATTTGTGAAAAATGAAGTTTTATTGAATTTGTCGATGAAACTTTTCATTTTCATGAGTTTGCGCGAAGAAAATAGGTACATGAATGATTCATAGACTAGTGCTACGATTTTAAAACTGGCACTGTATTGAAGACGATCTTTTTGCAATAATACGTATCAATAACAGGATTGTAGTCTCATTAAATTTTATTAATAATTTATTAGGTGTGTATAAAATAGTTTATATAAAGACATCAAAGCAATAATTCAGTATCAAATAAATTGATTAATAGATACCTTGTATATATAAAATATAAATTACATTTCCTATATTAACTTTGTATTGTAACAGTAATAATAAATTTATTATATCGTATTATAATAGTAATAAATTTACTTACGGTAAAAATGTTTTATTTAAGAATATTCATAATATAAGGCAATAAAAATTAATTCTTCCAATAGAATGAATTCTAGAATTATTTCATTTATACAAGATTATGTTCTCCTACGTGTTCTATTTTTCGTACTTTGTTCCGGCATAGAGAATGTAATACCCTGAAACAGAAATTCCAAATTACGAATATTTATATTTAAATTATATTTCTAATATAATCTAAATATTACATTAATATTTAGATTTCCTTAGTATATGTTGTATGATTTTGTGTAAAGTTTACAAAAAGAAGAAACTTACTTGTTCATCCAAGAAATTTATAAAATTAGAAAGTTTACATTTAAGCCCATGTGACCGTAATGTAGCATGTAATTTGTCAATATTTACAGACTCGTATCGCAATATTTTATTATACAAATCTTTATCAACATTGATCAATTTTATAAAAGCTTCTTTAATGTCTGAGGAATATTCCAGTACTGGTAATGACTCAGTTTCATAAAATTCTATTTCTTTGCTGATTGTACTTTTAATGGAATTCACACTCTCATTACTGTAACAAATAATATTATCACATTACTATTGATATCTATACAAAATTTATTTTAAGCTAGGAAAATATTTAATATTTATATAAAATTTATACCTATCTTGAGAACAAGGTAATTCATCAAAATTTATACCTATCTTGAGAACAAGGCAATTCATCTTCTAGATTATTTAATTTTTTTATACTGTTATCATTTGTATTTAGTTTTTTCGCCGGTGGGCCCTCTTCATCGCTTGATACTTCAGCAATTTCCCGTTCTGTGTTTATTTCATCTATAGGTACTAAAGGATGAAGTTCATTATATATGTGTTTTAACAATTTTACAGTCCGGCAACGTTTCTGTACCTTCAATCCGTATCTCTTCATTTCTCTCTAGAAATTAAAGAACATTAGTTCTCATTCTTAAGAAAGCAAGTTCTTAATTATAATGGTTTATTCTCAATAAACTTACATCTAATTCAGGAGTCTTCATGCCATCGTAATCAGGTGGTGGTGTGACATCTTTATCAATTATTTTAGACACAGTTTTAATGTTCCCAATATTTTGACTATAATTATATTGAAATTGCACAGATGCATATTCAGAAATATCTTTTTGATCACGTAGTTTGTTAATACTTATTTGCTGCTCAGATAAGGATTTTCTTTTAAATTTTCTAACATCTGTAGAATTTTGGGTCAAGGTCATGGTATTATGATCCAAACTCTCACATTGAATTATATTATTAGTTGTCTTATAATCATCTATGATGTTTTTACGACTATTTTTGTTGTTGCATCTGCGTAAATTATCTTTTTTGAACTCTGCTATGTTCAATACACTAGCTGACTTGCTCTTTTGTAAAGTATGATTCTTTTCATATTTATCGACGTCAACGTTTGCAAGATATATATCTTCTTCAAAATTAAAAGAAAATTTAGTAGATTTTCTCGACTTACGGCTATTTGTCTCTGATACGTGCTTAATGCAATGTTCCTTATCAAAAGATGGACTTTCTGTATTTAGATCTGGACTAGAAAATACCATAATAGGACTTGGTATGAATTCTTCTCTATGATTGTCAATTTCATCTTTATTCGATTCATTTAAATCAGATCTCGTTTGCGTGAAGATCATATTAATTTCTGCATCTTCAATATCTGGTGTCATATCTCTATCATTGAATTTAATTCGATCTGATTTAGTTGTGCTGTTAATATCTTTTTGTTCTTCTGAATCTGTTGCTATGGCTTTTGGGATTTCTTCAATATCAGGTGAATTATTACTTTCTTCCTTCTCAATATCTTGTTTATTATCTCCTGTTTTTTTAGAGAATTGTGGATAATCTTTATAATTAGAGTCGTCATTATGTAGGTCGACTGGATAGTTATCACTGGAAAATACACTTTCAACTTCTGTATCCGATGAAATAATCACATCTGTATCTTTCTGCGTCAAGAAAGATTGAGTCATAGCTATATCATTCTCGTTGGTGTCACCGCTTTTGTTCAGTATATCCGATAATGCGCTTTCATCAGACTGATTACCATCTAATGCGTTTCTCTTAATTGCTGGGCGATATTTTGCTATGCTATTATCGTGATGATTTCTCATATATTTAGAATACATAGAAATCTCTGTTTCGTCTCCTCTCTCATCTGCTTTTAAGTCATAAATGCTTTCATTGAACGACTGATTTGTTGTCTTAGTATGGAGTGAGTGTACTATCGACAATGGCTCAATATTGACTAAATCCGAGGTATCATCTTCTTCAGTTGAAATATTTTGTGAATAATCACAAAGCTTAGTGTCATTACGAGAAAATTCTGTCATCTTCTCGAGTAATGTAGACAAAGCGTTAGTTTGTTTAACATCTGGTACACATTTATCAGAAGAAACAGAATAAAATTCTGGATTTTTATCGGCAAACGATCGCATACGTTGCTCTATTATACTTAATTTACCGAGCTTCTTCCTCGTTTTACTTGATTGCTTATAGTTATCAGATTCAGCATTTTCATTATCAGAATCACCCCATTTATATATACAGAATGGATTCGAATATCTTCTTGGAGACATTTTATTAGGATATGTCGTAATATCTAAATCAGAGTCTAAATCTGAATCCAATTTTGCGTTTTCTCTTTGTATTCTTTCAATAGATAATGTGAGATTGCTTTTCTGTCTCGCTGTGTTTGAAGAATGCTTTTCAATAGCCTTTGGCTTACTGTTTTGAGGAGTGTCTATTAATGAATCTTTATGCAAATCATCGGATGGCTTCAAAATTTTCATTACATTTTGTTCTTCGTTTTTTAAACATGCAAAAATATTTTCATCCAACTCTGAATACTTTGCATTATCAGTTTTCTTGGTTAACTCTTGACTGTTTATATTAATATCCGCATCCTGTTTAATTAAACTTAATAATATGTGGCTACTTGAATCCTCATGACCTTTAGAATATGTTGTGGATTTATCATCAAGTTTTATTACGTCGAGCGTGTCGTCGAATATATCAGGAGATAAGCTAATGCCTCGATTTCTCGACGTGTTGTTCTCAGAACTTATTTGCTCCAATGATTTCATTGAAACCGTCTTTTCATCTTCCACAATACAGGAATCTTCTGCAAGTACGTAACTTTCTCTCTCTCTATTTCCAGGAGATTGAAAGGTACTACTGATATCCTCTTGTAATAGAGTTTTTTGAACATATTGCGTGTTTTTCAAATCATTACGCGTGTGATGTTTTGGCGATGTTTTGCAAGTAAATTTGTCAAATTCCGGAATATTTAAAGCTTTTCCTACGTTTGAAATTATATTCTCTGTACTTTTCTCATATTCAGGTTCTGTTAAATTAAATTCGAATTTTCTTTGACGTAAATAAACAAATAAATCATTTACTTTGTACTTCCTTGCTAATGATCTAATAGCAAATAACGACGTCTTGGAATCGTGTATTTTCGAATATTTATCTATTGTCCCACAATAGATAAATTCTAGAAAGGCTAAGGCAACATCATAGTCTACATCAATCCAACAAATCTTTTCTTTCGCAGTAGAGAATTCTGTATCATTGGAAATTACATCGAGTAAAATATTTGTGCAACGTACATAAAAAACCAATTTGTGCACCCAAATGTGTCTGCTGTTTTTTACAAACACAATGATATCACTGGCAGAACTGTCATTCAGTATGTTTCGCCAGTCTGTTGCAAGAGTGTTGAGAAATGTTTCTTTGCAATATATTTTAATCTCATTCGAGGAAATTGTTAATTCTTCATTGCTATCTGTTGCACTTACAGTCTGCATTTCCTTTATTTCCTGTGGTTCTTTAGTTAAAGATTCTTTGTCATTTCGATCTGTGAACTTTTTAACATTTTGTTCTTCCTGTAAAACATAATGTACACATTGTGTAATTGTATGTTATGCACATAAATATATTTTGTAAATAATTAACTAATATAGCAATTAATTTACATACATTTAATTTATAATTTTTCTCTGGCAATGGTATTATCTGAGAAGACAATTGCGTTACATAAAACACATTTTTACTTGGAGTTAAACGTGTTCTATCCCACAGTGTATTCTCCTTAAAAATAATGAGAAAGAAATTTTTAAATTTATTTCTCTTGGGTCAGGAAATACTTGGACTAAATTAAAAGTTGGATATATAGTTACAGTTTTATGTAATTCCTGAAGTAATTTACTCTTTATAACGACTTTCTCTTTAACATCTATAGATTGTTCATTTTCTTCCTTGGTGTTTTGAGTAAAATCTTCGTGGCCCATAAGTATTTCGGCTATTCTTTCTGCTAAAATACGTTCTCTTTCTACAGCTGTACGTCTTTGTAAGATAGTTGGTTCATTGAGTTTTCCTATTTAAATAAAAAACAAAACAAGATAACACAAGTAAGTTCAGAACCATAGATAAAAGTAATTGCTTTTAGTTACAAAAAGTTTTAATTCTACATATGAATTAATATATAAGTACTTCTCTTCATTTTGTTGATAGGATAATTGTTTGTTGGTGATACACTTCTATTACTAGTAAAGCCAAAGCTTTGCAATGTTGTTCTCTGAGAACATTCTTTGTTGCTATCTGGTAATGATGGACCGGATGATATAGCTATGATTTCAGCTTCATCTAATATTTCCATTTCTTCTTGTTGATACAGAGATGTAGAAATTGCTAAACCAAGCTCAAGATTAAAATCATCTTGAAATGTCTACAAAAGTCACATAGTCACATTTAAAATTATTAAACATTAAACAGATTTAATTTAAATATTTTTGTATATTATATTAGATACGTACTGCTTTACGTGGTGCAGGCTTTTTTTTGTCTTGTAATATAGGAGCAGAAAGTAAGCCTAACGATTTTCTTTCTGCTGCTTGACGTTCTTGTAGCTCCATAGCATTCAACAGCTTCTTTGTAGAAACATTATTTTTTATCGCACAACTTTTCATATGTACAGCTTGTGAATTTTCGTCCTTAAGATTTTTAAAGCATAATGGACATACATAAGCTGTTTTAACATTTGCTGGACTCTGCGGTAAGTTCATCTTATTTTCAGTTTTAAAGAAGGATGATTCAATTGATGTTTGTTGTGTATCATGTATATTTTTTTTATTCTGCAATAGTTTATTACTATCAGCTTTCTTTTTATTGTTGATAATTTTAATTTTAGAATGAGATACTTTCTTTTTAGGTTTATCTAATAGCTTATTGCTATTGATATTTTTTAGCGACATAAATTTTTTTGGTGATTTAAAATCCATAATGCTGTCATCCACACATGAAGATTGTGGTACATTAATTGAGATTGAATCATTTTTTTTACATTCATTATTGGAGTCATCAGAAAGATGAATCTGATTATCTATACTATAAATAGAAAAATATATGTTATTACAAAATTATACTTTAAAATTGTAAATATCATTTTTTTGTATATTATCAATAAAAAAAATATTTATTTGTAACGCAAATAGGAGAAACAATACAAACAATAAAAACAAGATTTTTCTATAATTCAAATATATTTTTATTTTATGTTATCTTTTTTTAAGAAATTACATATATAGACTACATAGATTTGCCAAGATTGAGATTTAATATATATGCATGTTATATATATTACCTTTCCTTATAACTTTTTTTTAATCTTAATCTTCCTTCTAGACTATTGAGGTTATGTATTCTGTCCTCTTCATTGTCCATCATTCTTGTATAAACTTCAATTACTCAAATTTTATTTATCAGTTTGTATATTATTTTTTGTGGTTTCTGACACAGCTTCTTTCTTCCAAACGTTTAGTAGTTTATTAAATAAGATTTCAACATAAATAGGTTCATTTAATAATAAATCAGGATTTTGCATACCAAAATCCTCTTTACTTTGTCCTTTGTTTACATATGGAGCAATTCTATAAAATACAAGAAAGTTTAATTAAATGTAAGTATTACAAGAGTTTAAGATATGATTTTGGAATTGATAAAAGTAAAATATAAATGAAAAATACAAATTGTTGATTTAAATGCGCACTGAAAAAATAAAAATATAATAAAAATGCTTACTGTCTCTTGTAACCAATGTACATTGCTATAGCAAAAAGACCTGTTGTAATAAGCGACGCATTGCGAATAAATTTCTGCAATGCAGTGTTCCTGAGTTGACGTGGTTTTCTGTATTTCTCATCTGTGGGATCACGTTTCATTTCACAGAGACCGAACAACAGGAATAAACTTGAATATTACGAATGTATTTTTATTAGTGATACTGAGCTGACGGTTCGTACTTAATCTAACCTAACATAAACCGGAGTAAAAAATATCACGAGCGCATGCACAAGATTGCCACATCGATTTCTGACAACTCAATCAATTTCAGTCTGATATAAGTGTGGTTCGTTTTTAATTTGTTTTCCAAGTAGCTTACCAAAAGGTTGAAACAATCGGCCCTCAATTATATAATTTTTTTTCTGAATATATAAAAAGTGAATAATTTTGCAATACTTAAAGGTGATTATGAATCTGTTTTTTCAATTTAAACTCATGAGGAGTAAAGAGAGACCACCAGTCTGATTTTAGTGGCCAGAGCTAGGCGCATTTTCGAGACGCCATCTAACAAAGTGTGCCTTTAAGTTTGTTAGGTGCATTTTGCGGTGGTAACGATAAAGACCCGTAGGGTGCTTTCCAGTTCTTTGCGTAATATATGACCAATAAACTGATTTTGGTACGTGTGTGTCAAGATGTGTTAAGCAATTGGAAAGCAGTTTCAGTTTCAATATTTGGCTGAAAACACTTTGCTTTAAGTGATTCTATGCCATTGCTCCAATTGGAAAGCATCTATAACTTGCAACAATGGCTGCATTCGCTTTGAGCGCTTATGCGCTATAAGCGTCATTCTATCTTCTTCCCGCATGTAATGAGCGATAAAGATAGAATGACGTTTACAGCGCGTAAGCGCTCAAAGCGAACGCAGCTAATGTATATCAGTTTAAACAGTTCAACTAAAGGGCCTTGCAGAATGCCAGGCAACGGGCAATAAGAACAGGGAATAGAAATTCGGATTGGTCAATTATTTCTATTCCCTGTTCCTATTGGCTAATAATGCTTATTTTTATTGCCTGGCATTGTGCAAGGGCCTTAAAATGAACAGACTTCTTTTCTATCAAAATTCCAGACGCATGCGCTGTTATCTTCACACCCAGGCTGCGTTCCGAAATTCACTGCCAGTATTGAAAATCTATAATTTATGTCACGTATACTATAGAACTGGCAGTGAATTTCGGAACGCAGCCCCAGTTATTGTCGTGTCCTCATGATATGCTTGTCAGATCGTCGGGTCTGTGAAAGATTTGTGTCAAGAATAAATTTAGCCAACGATAATTCCTGCATAATAAAGGTTTGTTGAAAATGGCGGGTCATAACTATCTGAGCGACCCGAAAAACCCGTTCTTTTCTTTGGAAGACGACATAGATGACGAGACGTTTCTGAGAGTTGCACCACCAGGAACTCGACCCGTAGAGCGTTATCACGACAATGATTTCGAGCAGAAACGCCAACAATTGTTGCAACGTAAAAGAGATATAGAGGAACGTACGATACAGTCTTCTGAAAGATCTGTCTCGCTTCTAAGAGATTCTGAGCAAATTGGTGCAGCCACAGCTGAGGTAATTGTAATGATATATTAGTCTTATCATTACCAGTGTGACAGATAGCATAGAAGACAAATGATATAAGATTCGTATTGTAACATGCGACTCCCACTATTATAATATAATACACACATAATGTGTATCTATTAAAAAAATTGTATAAAATGTTGTAAATTATATTTTTACATATAATTATATATAATAATATATCTGTTTATTTTAATTAAGCTTTTTAGTATTTTCTAATTTTCTAATTTTGATTTTTTAACAATGATTATATTATCATTAATATATAATAAGTGATGATGTATAAATTCTTGTTTTCAGGAGTTAATTAGGCAAAGAGAACAGCTACAAAGAACAGAGAAGAGATTAGATGACATTAATAGTACACTAAGATTTAGTCAGAAACATATTCAAGGTATAAAAAGTGTTTTTGGTAGTTTGAAGAATTATCTCAGCGGTAAATCTCTGGATGCTCCAATACCATCAACAAAATTGTCAGAATCCTCTAGCTCTGGATCAGTAACATCTCCAGCATTATCCAATTCAATAGAGCAAGTACAAAGTAATATGAGCAATTCATACTCATCGATGAAAATAAGGGGAAACTTTAATGACAATGATTATGAGGATGCTAAACCTCCTAAAGACAAAGTGACTAAGGCTCTGGAGCAGAATTTAAATGAGATGAGTGGGTCATTGGCAAGACTGAAGAGTCTAGCAATTGGTTTGTCGGAGGAAATAGACTCGCAAAATGATTTAATTGATAATATCACTGATAAGACAGAGAAGGCAGATATAATGTTACAGAAGCAAAACAAAGATATGTTACATTTAATGAAAAAATAGATTTGGAAACCGTTATGTCAGATGTCTTGCTTGTAATATCATAATATTAACTATACTTATATGAAGTATAGACATACGTTATACAATGGAATGAATTTTTGACGTTTATTTCTTTGTCATTGAATGTGGAATACATGTCATTAATCGTGCGATTATACCGTACGGTGCATTTTATAGAATTTTTCACAAAGCGCGATTGCGATCATTACAATGTAATTGTAATAGTACAATGTTAGAATGATTTATCGTCGATACATGATTTTTGATAGGGAGAAGATCTGAGCAATTATCGTTGCTACAAAACCACATATGATATGTTTATATGCGAGTATGCTACACGAAGAGCTTTTAATTGACGTTTCTCAAGATTTTGTAGCCTTTTAAGACATGAAAGCTGTGATAAGCATACATCCACGTATAGTACTTAGTTCTAAGTTGAGATATTATTTTACTATCTATCAATATGCAATTTTCATAGTTATTAAAGAAATTAAAAAATTGGCAAAACAAATTTCGCACACATGGGCATATGATAGTGTAAAAGTTAAAAAATATGTTACTTTTATTATTATTATTTTATTATTATTGAATAAAATACCTATGTTGTATAAGTTGCATAATATTCGTGAAAATTAACATAAACTTCTTTTTTATGATGTTGGATGTTTCATATTTATCATTACTCAGTTTATTTACAATTTATATAGCTTAGGTGCATTTTATATGTACTGTATATAAATAAAGCTAATGATTTATGGAAAGTGAAGAGCAATAGCAAATAATGTATCATAGAATAGACAATAATTGTATATACATAGTAATATAATTCGTCAATTTTAATGTTTTTTCTTTTATTATACAGTATAGATAGTTATACAGAAAATTATGTGAAATTATATCAATATGCAAAAAACAAGATATGTAATAATGAGAAATGTGTATGAGTAAATATGCATTTTATGACTGCCAGGATTATTTAATAAAAATCCAAATGATTTATACTTCTTTGTTATTCATTAAACCATAAAATAATCATTGTTTATTGATACATTGTTAAAATCAAATAAAGACAAATAAGAGATCTGCACAATGTATTATTATATATTCTCTTTAAAATAATACATCATATAATTACAGTGTGGAGATTGAAGAAAAAATATTTCCAATTTCTCATCTAGGCCATCTATAATTCTCAGGTCCATATTTTTTACATTATGTGTCTTCAGTGTTTTGCCATAATTTCCGTCTGTAACATTATTATACATAATTAATTAATCTGTAGCATATTAATGACTTAAAAATAATACAGATAATATACAATTGTTCCGTAAATTTTATTTTTTCTTTTATACGACAAGAAACAATATCTATAGTTCTGTTCTTTTGATTGATGCTGTTACACTTTCTGTACTTAAAATAAAATAAATAAATAAATAAATATGAATATAAATATATATAAATATATATATGTATAAGTATATATATGTATGTGTATATATGTATATATTTAAATCGGACGAAAAAGATAAAAAAGAAATTTGCGAGAAAGTGTAGGAAGTGTAGACAGTGTTGCTAAAGAAAACAGAATTTAAATTTCTTTATAGATCGGTTGTTTTTTACTGAATTATAGTGTACACTTACGGAACTTAAACAGAAAAACTTCATTGAGAGAATTGTGACTTGTTGTAAAACAGGAAAAGGAAACTAGAACACAAGCTAGTGTAGGGAGTGTAGCAAAAAAGAACAGATATATATATATTGACTTTATCGATTTTATCGAAAATATCGAAGTGCGAGAGAATCGATAGTTGTGCATTCGAGAAATTCAATCGAAGTCGCCAATATGGCGTATTTAACCGACGCTCTTTCAACTGCTCCTGTGCGCTAGTGAGTTCTAATTCGAATACGTTTGTTTAAAAGTGAAAGTTTATTTACACGTGAGTAAAGTTCTGAATAATAAGTGAAGAGCGAATATAAGACACAAAAAGATGACATGTGATGATACTTCGCGGAATTGAAGGAGCATTGCAATTATGTATGTCTAGACGAAAGTAAGTATGAAAAAGTGCAGCTTGTTGCGGCTTTTGTAGACTAAACCAATATCTTCGCCGAGACTGACATTCGTATTTCGCACTTAGTATTCAATATAATTGTTTGAGTTTTAATCGTGTAAGGAAGGTCAATCAACTCACAAGCTGATAGCTACGTTTAGGGGTTAGTCACAAAGTACGAATACAGATACTTATATATCAGATATATTTCTAATCTATCAATTTGTTAATATCCCTGACAAATTATACGTGTGTGTGCACGTGTCTGTGTGTATATTTGTGTGTCAGATTAAGTATTTATCAAACCGCTTGAATTGTCGCATGTAATAATCTATTAATTTTTATTTACTCGTTTATCCAGTATTGTTGCGGCCTCTGCAAGCTATTGCAGATCGGCGGAAAACTTGACGTTTCTCGCCGATCGCAGCGACAGGATTCCCGATGCTCATGCACATCGTCGCCTAGGAAAAGGGGTGAGTGATAAGAGAATGTTTGCTAATACAAATTCTTCCATCGTTGTACTAAACTGTGTTTCGCGTTTATCCTTTCGTTCTAATGTCGTCCAAAACACATAGTAAGAAATCAGATCTAACAGTCAACACTTTTCCGTTTTGATATCGGATAATGAGAAATTTAGAAACACAGAAGCGACGTTTCACGTCAAAAGTTTCTTTCCTCAAATTTTATATTATCTTTCTTTTATTTCTTTTATTTAATTTCATTCTTATATTCTTCGTGTAAGAAACAAGTAAAAAAAAAATTAATAATTTATCATTACTCGAAAGAAATAAACAATAAATAGACGCCATTTATTCATATTTACGGCTTTGAGAGATATTGTTTCTATCGCGAATCTTGGCACATAAAGAAAAAAATATTTTAAAATCTATTTGTGGGATAAAAGTTTATTTCTCAAAAATAAGCTTTACACACCGCAAATATATTTTCATATATTTCTTTCTTAGTGCAAGTGCAAGGTGTGAGTTTCGCTTATCCTTGAGTGCTCACAGATAATAACTTTCTTACCATGATGTACAGTAGAAAGAGATACAGCAGACCAAAGACCTTCATTTTTCGTCGAAATACTTGTTCGAACTATTGAGCCCAGCACCATGGTTGTTTTTATATTGCCACGGTGCAATTGTATTATGTATCTTTCATCGAAAACTGTTTGCGCGACGACGCTTCCGGTACTTAAAAACGACTTAAACGTGACGAGTTTTAGTATTGTTCACACTACTGCGCGCGCGCGCAATCATGTTAACGAAACACTGCAAATGTGAAAAAACAAACGCCGAAGTCAGATATATGTAACGATTATCAGTCGCGTAACGTTATTTCCTTTCGTTGCTCGTCAAATTTTATGAAATACCGGCGCGAGAATACAACAACATGTAATAGTTACACAACGCACGCACTGCATTAGAGCCTTGTAAAATTTGCAATTTATGATTTGCGCATTTGTTCTCATATAAATTCATTCATTATCAATGAAAAGTAATTACGTTCGCATACAACATTGTACATTTGCGCAAAAGTGTTTGATACTTATAAGTAAACTTACTTAAAAGGTACACTCCGATTTCTTTCTAATTTGGCATAAATGTAGAAGTACAAAAAATATTTAAGTCATATTTTTTATTTTGGTCTACTTTGAGTTTCACGGGCAGTTTATAGTTTTTTAATGTTCTCACTCCTATCATCAACAAGTACAACAAAAATGCATAAGATATAAAATTGAATACAAAATATAGTTAAATAATTTTAACAAAATCAGTATAGCTGAGACACGAATCATTCTAAATTTCTTTAGCCAAGATTCCAACCGAAATATTTCAAATCTGTGCTAAATTAATAAAAAATGGTTCGAATCTTGACTAAATCGAGAAATTATTTGTATAAATAATTTTTTTCAACTTTTTACATGTTTAAACATTTTATTATTTATACAAATAATTTTACACGTTTGACTTCATGTTCACAATCAACAAACTAAAAACGCCTATATCTTGTATTTAATTTTATTTCTTATATATTTTTGTTGCACTTGTTGATGATAAGAATGAGAATATTAAAAAGTTATAAACTACCCGCGAAACTCAAAGTGGGCCAAAATGAAAAAATATGACCTACATATTTTTGTACTTCTACATTTGTACCAAATTAGAAAGAAATCGAAATGTAACCTTTGGGTAGGTTTATTTGTTAGAAGGAAGTTTACAAATTAGATGAACGTAATACAGGTTCGATTTATTATAAGTCAGACGATTAATACAAGACATTCTGATTTGCATAATTGAGATCTTATCTCAAGCATTATTTCATTACTTCATCATCTGTAGTCTTTTTAGATAAAATATTGTTAGTCGGTATTTTTATTGGTATCTTTATCAATATCGTAGTTTATTTGACTTTAATTTCTCTGACTATCTTATTATATTTATATGTATACATCAGGACTAATTATAGAAAATAATAAGGTACAATTAGCATCGTTCCGCTGTGCGGAGCGACGCATAAAACTCTTGTGTATAATCGCGCATACTCGTTTTAATCGCTCGTATGAACTTGACAAGTGAACCGCGACAAAAAATATTCATGAGATCGCTCGGGCAATTTCTTCTCAGAGTCATATATTACGTCAAAATAAATTATTAACACGTTCGATGATCATCTACGTCGTTGGCGACGGAAGTTGCCTCGTAAGCCAATCGTTCTGCTTCTCTCTGTACGGCAATCGCTGCATGTTGTTCCGCAATTTTGTGGTACAGTTGATAATGTCTGTCCTTCGCGTTTGCCACGCTCGCTGAATCCTGCAGAGTAATTAGGCAAATTAGACGGAAACATAACGCGAAACGATTCTGCGAGCAAAACAGCTAGGTTGAAGCATTTCACTGAAGTTTTTGAATTTTATCGTATCTCTTCTCGAGTTTGCTTAAATAGATTAATCATATCTCAATTTTTCTCTCTTACACATATTTATCTGATAATTTTAAAAATTTATATCACACACACATACACACAATTACAACGGTAAATTTGAATTATCATTACAATTTTTTACGAACAATCTCTCGTGATATTAAATAAGTAAAAAAAAAGTACCTCTCAAAGTATCAACAAAATATACATAGTATATAAAAAATTATATCTTATAAAAAACTACTCGACACTGAAGCAAGCTGAATATTACATTCTTGTCTTTCTGCTGAAAATTCGTAATTTTTAATTGGCGTGACTTTTTTCCTTTTCGTATTCAAATACTTCAAGATTTTACATTGTCCCATATTGTCGTATATACGGTGTCCCAAAAGATTTTAATCATACTTCAAGGATGTATCGAGAGGACACTATAGAGCAGCTTTTTAATAGGAACTTATGTCCGCTGTGGTCAAATTGTGAAACTACAAGGTCTTGGAGTTGCTTGTTTGGCTGCATATCGCCTATGCAAAACATAAGACAATGTAGTTAGCTTTTAGTAGATTCAAATAAGTATGATGAAATTGCTTGAAAATTATCTAACATACGTTTATTATTATTATCGTGGCATCATGTTTAAACGATATGGCCGAAAGCGCCTCTGTTTTTCGTTCGTGAACATACTTATCAGCACAAATGTCCAAAATACATCCCAGAGACGTCTCAGAGATGTATGTTATCTAAAATGTATTTTGGATATTTGTGCTGTATAGATGAGCTTTTATTAGAAAGTTGCTCTACGGTGTCCTCTCGATACGCTCCTGAAGTGTAGATACAATTTCTTGGGACACCCTGTATAATATAATTACCTGTGGCAGATTCGCTGGAATATTATGAGCATTCGCATCGGCGATCCTCTGGTAGAGACGTAAGTGTTTATCCTTGGCCAGTCTTACAGCTTCTGAGTCGACAGGCTGGGCGAGAGTGTCCTCGAAATTAATCAAGGCAGGATGAAATCCGGCTTTGTCAGCCGTGTATTCTACCGTGCGCACTTTATACTTCGGGTCGATATAAGAATACGATCCTAAAAGATGTACAAGTTATGAAAAAATTTCGTGATTACGAAACGTTATTACAATATTCTTTCTAATCATTTTTCTTCTCTTTTATTCTCTTTTATTCTCTATAGAATATTACCGTCGTACGTTATCTGATACTAAATTAGCCAACTAAATAAATAATTAATTAAAGTATAGATAATTAATTCTCACAAAATACAGCATAATGTAAGTTTTATATCAGGCGATATTTTAAATTCTAATTTATATTATTTCAATAACGGGACAATTCAGCATCTTACACATTGTTCCAATATAAAAACAGTTTTAATTGAGGGAAATGACAGTTGATGAAGTAATATGATGTTATTATACAAGTGATATAAATAAATAATACATGAATCGATCGAAGCGTTTGAGAATGATAAATTTAAGTGTTGAGAGAAACAACATTTCTAATACAACTATATCGATTTTGGCACTTTAATTACAAGGTGAAACAATTATTGTGGTTACCGTGAATAATTCCAGTTCCATCTCCGGCTTCTTGATGGATACGGTCGATGTGTCCTGGGTATCGTCCCGCTTTATATTCAAAATTGTAAGGTTTCGGAGGTGGCGGTGGTGTGGTGGTTGTCGTATATCCTGGTAAAATATGCGATACGTCCGCCAAACAAATGTTAATCAAAGCAGCGGCTATCTAGAATTCATGATTAGAGTATGAGAAAAATTGAGTTCTCTTACGATCGGTTTAAATGAATTGTCGAAGTTTAAATATATTTTTTCAAGACTTATTTTTTCAGTATATTTAATATTTAAATTAACGTTTAATATTTAATATTAAACGCATTCTCAAACGTTTTTAATATTTAAATTAACGTTAAAATTACGACATTATTGATTCGAAATTAATTCTGAAATAAGATTCTTGTTTTGGTGAAATTTTGCAAAAGTAAAGTCAAATCGAATTCTTTTTTGGTTTATCTATAAAACATTCTTTCGTGTTTTGTATGATTGTTTGATTCACATATTGCAATAAATAAGAAAAGTTTCTTACAAACTTCGACGATTCATTTAACTAATTATTACGTAGCAAAAAAGGTGAAAAACTTCAGTTTTTATTGCAATACAATGCATGCAGCTGCGTACTTACGTAATAAACTGCTGAGTATGAGTACGATTACGAAATCAACTGGTTTTTTCGTCACAAAAACTATTTTACGTCCAAAGAATTCGCACAATTATGACAAGGTTACGAAATACCCAAAGTTTTTTATTATTACACATTTACGTGGATTTTTAACTTACAAATATTGGAACTTTATTTAATTTAAACAAGAAATATACGAGGACAATTTCGTCGCGGACAGACGTAAGTTCATTGCGGATAAAAACTACATATTCTGTTTCTCGGATTTGTTTCAAACTTATTAATTGTTACAATACTTATTAATTGTAAAATATATTGTTTAATAACATATACACTTTGCATACTTACTATTATGCGTTTCATTACGAAGCTGCGGAGTTCGGATTGTTTCATCGATATATTCATACACGTGGATTAGCGTTTACTGCGGGAATAGCTCGATGGTGAAAGTATTATAAGAAATCGTCGAAAAGGTGGAGGTATCGCTTGTAAAGGTATCTTCACACCGACACGGTTTTTATACAATTCATATTTGCAAACCTATCGCATGTATCGAATGTAAGAATAATGAAATGCAAGAATTCACGGTGGGGAAGTATGTAAAAAATATATCCTCAAAAATATATAAAAAGACACATATATACTCACAAGTGATGCGATGACAAGTCTTTATCGGTTGCAAAAACATTCGATTAATTATTAACAAGAATACGCAATTTATTTTGAGCTTGTTATTATCGCAATACATCTTACTATTTTTTAAATTTTATTTCATAATAAAGCACTTCTGGATATATTTAGTAATAATTTACTTATCTTGAAAAAAAAATCGTTTCTATTTTTCCATCAATTTTATAATCTTTTATAATAAATAAAAAAAATTTTTTTTAAACGACTTCTAATATGAAACTTTTGAAACACTATTTACATCTATCTTATCTAATATACCTCTATTTATTTTTTTTTATTTATTTTACTTTAGCTACGTTGCCAAGAAGAGGGCTTGGTTTATAATAATATCCCTCTATTAAAATAATATTATTCATTACATATGACAATATTCACTGAGCAGATCTCCTTTACGTTAGCGATCAATGTTCAGCTGTGCCATCATTAGCGCACACATTAAAGTAACATTATATTTTTTAAATAAGAAATTGAGATTCAAAGGGTTAATTTTGAAAATGAATAAAGGGTTGAAATTTTGTTCGAGTTTATTTTTCCAGGATGGAAAAACACATTTAATTACTGTAAAAGAATACATTTCATTATTCATACATAGAACATAAGCAATGTGAGACAAAAGGAACCTAATTACCGAGTAAAAGTGAAATAATAAATATTAATAGAATTAAATTCTTAATTCGTGCATGCAGATATAATACGTCTACTTATTATAAATGTAAAAATTAATAATTAGCTTCTGCTACATTCGATTTTTCTAAGATGTATTGAATATATATTACTTTATAAATAAGGGATTATATTCGGAGAAAAATAATTTTGTTCTTTTAGCAAAATCGTCGTTGCTACTGTATATTCGTAGTGATATAAAAAAAATTTAATTGACGTAACTAATTTTACAAATTATTCGTTATCAGAGCAAATGTAATTTCGTTGTCAGGATAGAAAAAATTTGTTTTTTCTTATTTTTATAATTATTCATTTTTCAAAGCAAGATCATTTGGTTAACAGTAATGCAAATTTTGTCGACGCAAATTCCACCAGATTGTTCGAGTTTAATCGATTTCGAGCTTCTTGAAGCTCCCTTCAACGCCGAACAGATCCGTCGCTGTCTTTGCCTTGCCAGGCCGCAATGATTCATTGACGCGGCAATTGGCCTCTTCCTCTTTGAACCAAGCGGCATGATTTGTCAGGTTTTCTATATTCTTGTCCTGTAATTCTTGTATAGGTCCGGCCTTGCCGCCCGCTTCGTTTGGAAGAACATCGAGCGGTATGAATTTTTCTAAAGATTCGCTTGTGGTATGCATATGAAACTGAAATTTAAATTTTATAATTTGTCAAGATTACCGAGAAAAAATACTTTATACACACGCGTAACAATGAATACAAGATTCTTTTTTAGTTTAAAGTAGAAAGGGAAAGTAAAGAGAGAGAGAGGGGTAGAGAGAAGGAGACGTAATCCAAACGATACGTTATCGGAAAAATGAATAATTTTCGAAAAAATTTACATCGAAGTCTCGAATCTTTTTTTATCTTTCCCTTTGAAAATAAAATCTTAAACTTTAGTTCGAGGAGGTATGATAATAATCTTGTTCTTACCATATCCATCAATTGTTTCTTCATAAAGGGTTTCATCATATTCAGGATAACGTCTATTACCGGAGAAGCATTCATAAAGTGAAAGCCTCGAAGTCGGACGGGCAATCCCTCTTGCAGATAATAAAGGAATTTCTTTAAACCCATAGGACTTAAACGGCCCACGTGACCAAAGGAAACATTATTCATGTCGAATATTATCACATGACCGTCGCATGTACCCTCTGTATAGAGCCACAGATCGATCACCATATTGAGCAATTTCATGGCGTCGTTGTAAACGAATTGCGACGGATCGTTATTTAGCAGTCTTCCATAAATGATTTTATAGCCTTCCCGGGTGCATCCATTTAAAATCTGGTTCGTTCTATCGATAAAATTATATTTTCTTTTTAGTTCTCCCTTTTTTTGAAGGAATATTTTCCATTAATGGATAAACAAATGAATAATAAAATCTACAGAGTATTGCATATATATTTAGCCATTCTCTAGTCATATCCTAATTTAGTAAAAATTTGCAAAAAAAAAACCTAACGCCGTTTCTATACAGAATTCGTTCTATACGTAATTTGTTTCTATACAGAAAGAATGATTTGAATCATATAAACACTTCTTTGGAACAGTTCAAACGAATTTTTTTATTGATCAAACAAAATTTTATTTGCCACCACAAAAATATTTATTTGCGGCTTAGTTCCAAAGAAATATTTTTGTTGTGTCAATCAAATAATTTGTTTGGCCTATTCCAAAGAAACATTTATTTGATTCAATAAATTGTTCTCTCTGTGTAGATAGTTGTGACTGTTGATTATTCGAAGAAACTGCAACGATGAGCAGCTGTGACAGCTTGATGTTTCGTTTGCGTTTATAATTGCGATTATTCGATTGATATATTCTTTTAGGTTTAAAAGTATACTCCAATTAAATCCAAAAGTTCACTAACCATGATTGTTACTAAACCGAATTAACGTTGTCGTGTAATAAGACTCATCCGTTTCTTCGAATAATTAATAGTTATAACTCTTGACTACCTAGAAACGAATGTGTTAGGTCACAAATTTTTAGTAAAAAAATTCGATTAGATTGGAACATGGCTGAGAAATAGCTAGGCAAATAGGCAAATATATTACTAATTGGCATGATAAAACAGCTCATTTAAAACAAAATATTAACAATAACTGTCTTAGGCCAAGTTCCACATCTATTTAATTTTAACTACCGATTAAGTCCCAATAGTGATTGGTTAATTCTTATTAAATCTTCTTAATGTCAAATGGGATTGGTCAAGTTCAATGGAATAACCAGCCAGTTAATGGAGATTGTGGAACTGAGCCTTAAAGCTTATATTGATCCGATTCACCCTGTGATCCGATTCGCCTCGGTCTACCATGCAATCCCAAGTAGCATGTGTTTAGAAACGTTTCCGAAACATTTTACAAACTCTGTACCCTATACGGAAAAAAAAGATTTGCTAATATATGGACAACTAAAATTATTAACTGCAGGAGCAAATTTTCTTGCTTTTATAGCAAAGTTATTTAGTTGTGATAGCTAAAAGATTTGTTAATATATATATTAGCAAATTGTCTTGCTTTCATAGCAAAGTTATTTAGTTGTGATAGCTAAAAGATTTGTTAATATATATATTAGCAAATTGTCTTGCTTTCATAGCAAAGTTATTTAGTTGTGATAGCTAAAAGATTTGTTAATATATATATTAGCAAATTGTCTTGCTTTCATAGCAAAGTTATTTAGTTGTGATAGCTAAAAGATTTGTTAATATATATATTAGCAAATTGTCTTGCTTTCATAGCAAAGTTATTTAGTTGTGATAGCTAAAAGATTTGTTAATATATATATTAGCAAATTGTCTTGCTTTCATAGCAAAGTTATTTAGTTGTGATAGCTAAAAGATTTGTTAATATATATATTAGCAAATTGTCTTGCTTTCATAGCAAAGTTATTTAGTTGTGATAGCTAAAAGATTTGTTAATATATATATTAGCAAATTGTCTTGCTTTCATAGCAAAGTTATTTAGTTGTGATAGCTAAAAGATTTGTTAATATATATATTAGCAAATTGTCTTGCTTTCATAGCAAAGTTATTTAGTTGTGATAGCTAAATAACTTTGCTATGAAAGCAAGAAAATTTGCTCCTGCAGTTAATATTTTTAGTTGTCCATATATTAGCAAATCTTTTTTCCGTGTACTCTCTTAAAGTGAATCAGTGAATACCCTACTGAAAATTTTTCGTAGAGATAACAATAGAATTCCCAATTCAATTCTCAGTTGAATTCTCAATTGAATTGTCAAATGCCGTTTGCGCAAAAATTGCATGCAAAAGATCTCAATTGAGATATTTGTATCTGATGGAAATAATTTATTGAAAATATAATTAACTTTTGCTGAAATGCTTTTAAAAAGCATTCACAATTTTGACCTAATTTCATTAAAATTTCATTATAATTTTATTAATATTTCAATAATATTTCATTAAAAATGTAGAAAAACTCATTGAAAAATCATTATTAATTAAAATAGATTGAGAAAATGATAATGAAGTATTATTGTGTCTAAATAATAAAAAAAAAACTATAATCTCATATTTTGAGTCGTTTCATTTATTCGTAAGATTCGCGTGGATTCGATCCCGTGTCACACGGCACCCCCCCACCCATCTTTAAGATGACTATGCGCTGTTCAATGCCTAACCTCAACAATCGGGAACTGGTGACGGCAATACGCTCTAACGATATCGTAGTGGATTGTATTTACAATATATTCTTATAGCGTTTAAAAATGTAATGACATATTTGTCGGTAAATGTTTCAAAGGACGTAACAACAATCACAATGCGATTAATATTGATACAATGTTGTATAACTAATCAAACTTTAACATACAACGTGCTCGCAAAAGAGAAAGAATATTCCTTCTTTCTCTCTCTTTTGCGAGCACGTTTAAATTTAATTAGTTATACAATATTGTATCAATATTAATCGCATTGTGACTGTTACGTCCTTTGAAACATTTACCGATAAATATGTCATTAAATTTTTAAACGCTATAAGAGTATATTGTAAATACAATCCACTACGATATCGTTACAGCGCATTGCCATCACCAGTTCCCGTACGATCGTTTTGAGGTTAGGCATTGAACAGCGCATAGTCATCTAAAGATGGTGCCGTGTGACACGGGATCGAATCCACGCGAATCTTACGAATAAATGAAACGACACAAAATATGAAATTATAGTTTTTTTTACTATTTAAACAAAATAATACTTCATTATATTTTTCTCAATCTATTTTAATTAATAATGATTTTTCAATGAGTTTTTCTACATTTTTAATGAAATATTATTGAAATATTAATAAAATTATAATGAAATTTTAATGAAATTAGGTCAAAATTGTGAATGCTTTTTAAAAGCATTTCAGCAAAAGTTAATTATATTTTCAATAAATTATTTCCATCAGATACAAATATCTCAATTGAGATCTTTTGCATGCAATTTTTGCGCAAACGGCATTTGACAATTCAATTGAGAATTCAACTGAGAATTGAATTGGGAATTCTATTGTTATCTCTACGAAAAATTTTCAGTAGGGTAATCACTGATATCAGTTATGAATACAGCACTGAGTACTTTTAGTGCTATATTTATAACAATCAGTGTATATTCACTGTTTCCAGTGATGTTTGACTGATTCATTTTAAGAGAGTACATTTCTGATTGACACATGTTGCTTTGTCATATGAGGAACGTCACGAGAGTCACGACGCTAGTCGATTGTAAATTTACTTACACTACTTGAGAAGCCTTCTTTAGATCTTTATTGTTCACAAGATCCCGATCGTTGAAGAATTCGGGTACGTGGCTTCTAACCGAGTAGAAAGTATCGATGCTGGCTTTCGTTGGTTCGAGCCGATAGTAATTGCTGTGCAAAAATAATGCTAACATGGCGTCCGATATCTTTGGCAGATGAGGCTGTTTCTCACACCATTCTCGCAACATCTGTATGTCCGCCTCCTTCAATTCGGGATTCTTCTTCAACTCGTCTTCGAACTTTACCGCAGCCATGTTCACTTCACAAAATAATCCTACGAAGTAAGATCAAAATCTGTGAGTCTGTACCTTCGACGAAAAGAGATAAAAAGAGATAAAAGGAAAGTAAAGCATTGCACGAGTTGCGCTACGTACGCGCTGTGATTCCCTAAATGTGTCACGTAAAATTTTTGCTTTTACCTTAGACACGAACGACGCAATGGGAAGTACGCGATGAACTCTACGTCTCGACGTCTCGAAAACTACTGATTGCGATTCTTACTGTTAGATATAGTCCACCTTTTAAGCAGCCGTACATTCAGGCAATGGCATGATATATAGCGTGACAAGTGAATGCGTCTTGATGTTGTAACGTACTATTTTAACGATGAATAACCTGGGAACTCTGACATTTCATTTTATCAAAGTGACATAATCCCACTGACCGACAAATACGAACAGTAGGCAATTAAACGAGCTCATCATTCATTTATCCATACCCAATGTTTATCATATCTCGGAGTAGCGAAAATTAAATAAGATGACAAGCGAAAAATAGCTTATAAAAATAGCATCTACCAGTGTTATTTAATTATATTCATTTTTATTAATTAATAATGTTGACGGAGTTTATGTTAATGCAATGATCGTTCCGGAGAAATACGCGGAAAAGATAATTCTGTTGGTGCAACCGAATTTTCAGTTGCTCAGGGATCAGACGATAACTCGGCTGTAGGAACAGAAAAATTCCTTTATGAGACTTCTGTATAGTCAATTGTTCTCAGTTGCCTCAACCAAGTTCTGATATCGTTGAATGTTTAGACGAATATTTTCGGTTGCGACAACAGAAATATTAGTTTTCATAACAGAAATATCGCTTTTGATCACCTAATTTTAGGTTCCTATTTAGTTGCACCAACTGAACTTTTTTTACGTGTATAACACAAAATTCGAATGTAAAATTATGATCACGTTTAGTACATGTACGATGACATTATTACAAACGATCATTCCTGATTTGATATTTGAGGCTTTCACGGTGTCCATGAATATTAGATTTGGTTTCCGGGTTTGAGTCGCGTGGATTCTTCTTTGTCTGATTCCGACGTTTCGCGAACATTTCAGAGGAACGACCCGATTTTCTCTGATATTTAACGCGAGGTATCTGTTCTTCGTCACGTGTTACCTCCGTTTTCTTTTAATTGATTGTTGTAATCCCTTATTATCTTTGTTTTTTCATTTATTAAATTATTTTCATTCTGTCTCCTCTGATATAGTCGAGAAAAAAATATCATCGTCAATTATATTCCACACCGTTATATTACTAACATTTTGATCCACTCATCACTAACATACGTTGAATAGTTTAATGAAGAGATGCATCCTGCATGACTATACGGATTTCTAAGAGTATTCATTACAGGAAAGAGACAGTATCTCTGGGAAGATCTATTAGGATGACTTTGGGAATCGCGCCAGCGCCATGTGGAAATGATATTCGTCATTGGCGTGTCGAACAGTACGTTGTGTTAATGCAACATGCTATTTTAACGAAATCGAAAGAAATACGTTACATTGTTGATTTGCGACTCATTCGATAATTAATTGGCAAGACCGTCTGTTGCGAACACATTATCTCTAGTGAGTGGGAGGTATGGGAATGTACTGGCAATTATTTGTTCGTACTTTATGCGAAAGATAATTGTATGTTATATCTGTTAAATGAAAAAATTGAAAAGAAGAAATCTGTTAAAAATTGAACAAGGGGCCATAGAAAATTGTAATCGAAATGTATATGTGGATCCTTCAGTATTCGTTACAGAAGGGATGTTGTTTCGAGACAATATCCAATGAATCTATTATAGAATGACTTAGAGATGTGCGAACTATTCGAATTCAAATCAAATCGAATCAAGTGAAATTTGATTCAATTCAAATTCGAATTCCTATGATTCGAATCTGAATAATTCGAAAATTTTGAATCGAGAAGATTCGAATACGGATCGCGCACATTAGCATTAACGAAGAACTATTAAAGACAGCCTTAAGGGAATTTGCATGACTTGAAAAGTTTGCTATACATTAAAATTTTCTTCAAAAATATTAAAAGAAGATAATGGCTTCTAGATAAACTCTTACCGATAACTGTCGGATCGATATGTGTCGTTGCGCAGCTTTCAAGGCTGGAACTGTATTCTATATACGTTTACCGACTAATATTACATATCTTTTACCTTAAATAAAATGAATTGATTTTACATGATCAATGTTATCTCTCTCTCATACTGAAATCACTATTTTCATATTGAATTCAATGATTATGTAAATTAAAAATTCTTTCAACGATTTGATTCGATTCGATGGTGAAATTTCATCGATTTGATTCGAATTCGAAATTAAAATCTGAGATTCGATTCGATTTGATTTGACATTAAAAATCTTTGATTCGCACATCTTTAGAATGACTTTGAGTAATATATGCAAAGTATGTAGAAGTAACGTTCGTCATTGGCATGCCAGAAATTGCGTTACTTTAATACATGGTATTTAGACAACCTGAGAGAAAAACGCATTGCTTTGCCGACTCGTGATCCGTTTAAGGATTCAGTCTGTAGAATTGACAGTTGTGAACACATGAATTTCAACAAACGGAATTACAAGAAAACGTGCAGTTCGCATTGCAGAAAAATAAATTATTTCTACTTCAGGTAAAGATTTGTTGAATAACGCTTTATAAAAAGTATTGACCGAAGTATTGTAGCGATAATGGTCGTCATTTTTCACTCATAATATTTTATACATAATTTTAAGGTCTTATTAAGTTATATTGTTTCTTTGTGTGAACAAGAAAAATTGCGGTGCCTATTACTTCTGTGCTATTTCACTACTATTTTTTAAAAAGTTTTGCTCAACACAGCAATGCCGTGTTAAACTATGTAAATGAGATATATTCTTTGTGACCTTTACTACTACTTGTACTACTTGTACTACTTTTTTCAGATTACAAAGAATATAGCCGGAAACTAAGTTTTTTCATTTTTTTTTTCTATTTGGTTGTATGCGATCGATATGTTAATTAGTTACATGAATTTATTAATTAAACAAAATAATTCAAGGCTTATTTATGCTTTAAATAATAAATTCAAAAATAACAATTTTTTTACAGCCATCGGTTCTTAATTTGCGCTTTATTTGTCTTCAATTTATAGAATTGCGTGAAAAATTGAATGTGTTAATTGCAAGCAAGTTTATTACATTCATACATTACATACATACATTGCATACATTGCATACATGTATTTAATTTCATTTTAATTAGAGTGTTGTCGTTGTCATATAGAAACTGTTTCGCACGTTATATTATATATATGATGTCTCTCCATTGTTGACACTCATGAATAGCAATTTTCAAATGCATCTCGATGTTCAATATTCGAATACTTAAATGTATTGCATAGAAGATCTGATGAGTACTGTTAAGTAAATAATGTTCCGCAGAAAGTTGTCAGTGAATCTTTCTAACGATTACAATAAGTTTTATTATTATTTACAATATTTAATAACTAACGCACCAAACATCTAATGTTAAAGATTATTCTAATGTTAAAGAAACATCTAATGTTAAAGAAATTTCTGCGATGCCTCATGAGATAAATTACATTTTCAAGAAAATACATAATCTGAAACATTTGCAAAAGTCGCTTTATTTGAATTCGTTACTGATCTAAAAGTATATAATATCATATATTTATGTATCGTAAAATTGATTCAATCAATTTCTAATTTCATGAAACTGCCCTCGATGTTGTATAAATCACAAAAAAGTTCATGTCACATCAAAATAGTAATGCAATTCGAAATTCATGCATTCTTTTATTTCATATTATTGCCACTCCATTAATTGTATAATTATTTTTTTAGATATAATTAATTATATTTTATATTTTATATAATTATATCTTAATAAATATATAATTATTACTACATAATAAATACATTAACAAATATATAAATACATAATTAATACATTAATATATAATGGTATTATAACATTGGTTACTGAATGACTTAACATCTTAATGCTTATAAATTCCTGTAACATTATATATATTATAAAATGGACTTAGTCAAATTCTATCGTTTTGAAATTACCGTCCACGCCAAACAGATCACTAGATGTCTTGCTTTTGCCGATCCGCAGCGACTCGTTCACTCGATTGTTCTTTTCGTCTTCCAAGAACCATTGGCGAAAATTTTCTATCTTCTTTAATTGTGCGTCCATTAATTCCTGTATGACACCTGCTTTTCCACCAAGCTCATTAGGTAACGCATCGATTGGAAAGCATTCGCTTGCATTTTGCACTGTTGAGTGGAAGCGTATCTAGAAAAAAAAGCATTCCTCAATATCACAAGGGGATGTTTTAATAAATGGGATTCGCTCTGTTAGTCTTTAACAACAAACGCTGTTATTTGATAATATCACGTCGATTAATTTCATGTAATTTATGCTATTTATGCGATTTAATTTTCTAGTTGTAGGTCGTACCATTTTTCTTTCTTTTCCTACGAATAGTCGCGAATCGTTAGAAAAATAATTTTTTCAGTTGTAAAGAATTTGTTGGAATATCATTTAATTTTACCAAATTTATTAGTTCCGCATTGATGAAAGGTTTCACTGCGTTCCATAGCATTTCTACGATTGGCGACGTGTTTATTATATGAATCTCTTTCAGTCGTATTGGCATGGCATCTTGGACATAGGATAAAAATTTCTTTACTGATATTAAGTTTGTACGTGCAATATGTCCAACTGTCATTCCTATACTATCCATAACGATGACATAACTTGGCATCGATCCGTGAGTCCAAAGAAATTCTTCGTATATCATATTACTGACGGTGAGCATTTCATTGAGGTAGAAATGTGAAGGATTCTTATCGATAAGATGTGATGCCATTATACCATATCCCTCCTTCGTCTTACCCTCTAGGTGAATCAAACCTCTGTTTTAACAAGAATAGAGATATTTATAGCAATTTTTAATGGAATATAATAAATAATATATTTGCGAAGAAATAATGTGCATAATAAATTTTGGAGATTGTAATATAAAAACAGTAGCACAAAGGAGAAAACTTTTAATAAAATACAAACCGATTGAATGTGCGCTTAGTGTCATTGGAATATTCTTGCAAAGCAATTATTGATTCTTTTATAGAATATAATACAGGGAAGTATAATAAAATAATTTAAAGAATCGTGGTGTGTGTGGACGCTTTATTCTACTTCAGAAATAAGAGTTAACATAAACCTTGACACAATTAAGACAAATTTCTTTTGTTATTCGAGAGTCATACACTGAATTGTGCATAATAAATTTAATTAAAGTGGATTGTTTTGACAATCTGTTTCAAGTCTATGTATACAGTGCAATATATATTATAGATATATTATAAAAGAAATATTTTCAAATAGTTTATTATTGACAAAATATGTACCTGCTTTGTCAAGAATATGAGCTATGTGATTATATACATTTGCAGCTCTCATGAAAATTTAACGCAAATGTTTGCTTTTGAGGTCGACGAAGTAGATATATATTGTCAATAAACTGTTTGAAAATATTTTTTTTATAATATATTTATATTCTGCACTGTATATATAGACTTAAAAAAAATTGTCAAAACAATTCGCTTTAATTAAATTTATTATGCGCATTATTTCTTTGCAAATATATTTTTATTGTATTTTATTAAATCGATATAATACGTCCATACATTTAATGAATCGTGTGTATGTACGTACTTCATTTGTCTAGTGATCTATATTGGGAGAAGCATTTATACTCACACAACTTTAAAAACATTTCGCAGTTGTTGTTTTTTATGTAAGTCCCTGTTAGAAAATATTTCCGGCATATGGGTCCTATAAGTGTAATAATTTTCGATCGTGTTCTTCGTCGGCTCTATATGATAATAATTACTATGTAGAAAAATGGCAAGTTCCACATCTTGAATTTTCGGCAGATGAGGTTGTTTCTCGCACCATTCTCTCAGAATTTGTATATCTGATATTTTCAGTTCCGGATTTTTCTTCAGTTCTTCCTCGAGGGTAATGCACTTAGTCGTAGGCATCATTCAACACTCATATTTTCTGTAGGGTTTCCTTTAATATGCCAAACTAATCGATCACGATCACTATCTTAGATGCGAATTTATTGATTTAATTTCTAGGTGTTCAATAATATCTCTTCGTGAACAAACAAACGCCATTTATCAAATTGAACAATATCAACTTGAATAGTTCTGAATCCGTAACATTATCGTCTCTCAGAACAAAAAGGATTATGATATTTGTCACTTCTACATTATCTTCTACACTACGATGTTTGAACACTACTGAACAGTGTTGCAGCATGCAGATTACTGGAATTTTCGATATTCTATGTATATAAACTAGATTTTCCTTCTACATATCCTTACGTTATGTAACATGATATGTATTATGTATGATGTATTATGTATGATGCACAATGACATGAAATAATTAAAATTCAGTATATACTCTATACAGGGTGTTTACGAATTCCACCGACAAACTGATAGGATATATTCGTGGTCAATAGAGAATCAATTTTTCATTATGTTTATTTGGTCATATCTGCTTCGCTACGGAGATATTGGACGTAAAAGTCAATGCAGTCATGAAACGTTATGGTAAAAAACACATTGGACAGAGAATGCAAAACAACTTTATTGAGTATTGTTAGCAGTTACAACAAGTGTTCGAAATTTCACCCATTAACTTCAATGCACAATTCACATCGGCGGACAATTGAGCGGCGTATCCGCGGAAGAATCCAGAAAGATATTGAGAACCAAATAAGCGTCAAGAGCTTGCGTGTCGCTTGTTTGACAAGAAGCATAGCGTGATGTAAATAAAAGAAGAATAATAATAATGGTTTTAGATTTGTCTTTGCGAAGCGACTAATAATAATCTTATCTCACTTTCACTGACTTTCACGCCCGATAATTCCGTAACGAGGTAGATCTGACCAAATAAACATAATGAAAAATTGATCCTCTATTGATCACGAATACATCCTATCAGTTTGTCGATGGAATTCGTAAACACCCTGTAGAGATATTGGTATTCTGAATACCTGTTATCCTTGTACTACTGATATTTAATGGATATTTGCATTGACGTGTTATAGGGTTTTTATCTGAGTGGATTTTATCGATTGGTTCCGCGAACGGTAAGTAAAAACTTCTTAGCTAATCACAGTGTTAGTAGTGGCTTATGACTTTGTTAATCGCTTCCCAGGGACAGAAACACAACGGAGGGTATGACTTTTAGGCGATTTGGGGACCGCTAGATAAACGCAAATTTCCTATTTTTTTTGTTGTATTTTTTCCAGGAGAATTAAAAGATTGACCTTAAAATTACGCCAAGTAAAGGGAAAAATAGTTATAGACATTTATACGTTGTTTTTCCCTGAAAATCATGCATTTTCCAACACTGCCATCTTAAATACCTTAAATACAGCAGTCAATTAAAAAAATATTAACTATCAAAATAGTACAAAAGTGATTTTGTAGCCCAGCTTTTTCAGAATTATACAGGGCATTAATAAACGAAAGCATATAAGGAGCTTCTTCTCGAGCATATAGTAGCTTTTGCCGCTCAAATCGCTCTGCTTAAGGCAGAGCTCGGAATTAGTTGCCCATTTCGACCGATTGACTGCTGCTTTTTCTCTGCTGCTTAGAGTATATTCTCATATCATTATCAAGTTTTGAGAAAATAAGTCTCCTATGTAACGTGAAATTTAGCACTTCTAAAAAGATCAAAGATATTTAAGATGGCAGTGTTGGAAAATGCATGATTTTCAGGAAAAATCAATGTTTAAATGTTTATAACTATTTTTTTCCTTTACTTGACGTAATTTTAAGGTCGACTTTTTAATTCTACGGGAAAAAATACGAAGGAAAAAATAGGAAAATTTGCGTTTACTTAGCGGTTCCCAAATCGCCTAAAAGTCATACCCTCCTTTATATAACAAAATAACAGTTACGTAATATACCATATAATTGAGTTGACATTGTAATATGGATGATACTTTGTGTTTACTGGGTTTATTTCGATAAAAAACCGAAGTTGAAAACGTTATAAGTTACACGTGAATCTATGGTAATTATGCATAATAGGTGATCTCATAGATTTCAATCAACTTGACACATGTTGTCAAGGTCATAATTCTGAATAACGTGCAAAAGTTTTAACCGTCGCTCGTTGTTAAAAAGTTATTGACAAAAAAATTTTTATAAACGGAACGTAATTTTGGTACATAGTATACATTGAAATATGGTAAACAGTACACGTATATGCATATGTTACGTTCAGTTGCGTACGCACACACAATTTTTTGCATGTTACTCAGAATCATGATCTTGATAAGATGTCAAGATGATTGAAATCTATGAGGTCACCAATTTTATTCATAATTATCGAATTTATTTGTACATGTTTTTGAAATATAAGTGGAAGTCCTAATTTGAGGATGTTTCTTTTACACATCAATATTTTTTATGTTTCAAGCCAAATAATCCTATAAAAAAAATTTTTTTACCAGCTATTTGCTTTTATTTATTTGTTACAATAAATTGTAATACATATGGCGATATGAGTAATAATATAAAAGAAGAAAATATTTTTATCTTGCATTTCTTCAAATTAGGCTATGTGGATTAATAGTTTGATGAGGTTTCCCTCTAACCTGGAGGTTGTAATATAAAATCAGTAACACAAAGGAGAAAACTTTTAATTAAATACAAACCGATTGAATGTTTCGCTGGAATATTCTTGCAATTATTGATTCTTTTGTAGAGTGTAATACAGGAAAGTATAATAAAATAATTTAAAGAATCGTGGTATGTGGACGCTTTATTCTTCTTCAGGAATAAAAGATAACATAAATCTTGACACAATTAAAACAACTTTCTTTCGTTATTCGAGAGTCACATACTGAATTGCCGAACGATTTGTCGTTTCCGCAGTAGGACCGAACTAATACTGGGGAGTTATTATACATGAACGAGCCCCGAGAAGAGCTTTCTAGGCTTATCTTATGTATTTTTTCTTCTATATAGCTTCTAATAGCGGCTGTCGGTAAAATTTTTTGGTTTCTTTCAAATTCTAATATTGGCCTCAATAAGTTAGATAGCACTATTCCCAATATAAACAGATTATGATTCCGCACGAGTCCTTATATTTCTTCACGGCGGCGTCTACAATTCAAAAGCAAGTGTATTCCCCAAAATTCCGAAAATACAATTACTTGCGTCAGTTGCTCAACCGTTGAGCGCTCTCATGTAAAAAACTGCTTGCATATTATATCGCATATATATATTATAGAATGTTCTACCACTATCGTGATATTCGTGAATGTCTAATTCCCGACAACATTGTACACCGAAAATCTTTCTACGAAAATATCGAAGCTATAATAGTTCTTACATTGGTGAATGAAGTTAAAAAGAAATTCAACCGAACTGCAAAAATCGTAGGATTCTCGATAATTTTATAGTATTCGCGTCTTCCTTAAATATTAGTCTGTATTATTTACTTTCAAACACAAATATGACAACAGGAAAGCATAATATTAATATACATTAATATATGCCAACTTGATAAATATGACGTGTGTGATAAATATTGTTAAGCAATATTTTGCAAAAAATTATGACTAATATATATATTTATAATGCAATATTTTCCAAAAAATTATGACTAATATATATATTTATAATGCATATATATCAGCTTTTTTCATTATTTATAATAGTTATAACAACAGGCTATAACTACTAAATATATGTTATTGTGAATATTTATAAATTTTTATAACATGTTTTATGAGATAAATTACTTTTTTAGAAAAATAACCTAAACCATTTCCATAAAGTTTTTTCTTTGAATTCGTTATTGTTTAACTTTACACGATATATATATATATATATATATATATATAGTAAAATTGACTCAGTCGAAATCTAACTTTTTGAAACTACCGTCTATACCGAATAGATCATTAGATGTCTTGCTTTTGCCGATCCGCAACGACTCGTTTACTCGTTTATATTTCTCGTCCTCCAAATACCATTCGCGAAAGTTCTCCATTTTTTTAAATTGTACATCCATTAATTCCCGCATGGTACCTGCTTTTCCACCAAATTCATTAGGTAACGCTTCTATCGGAAAATATTCACTTGCGCTTTGCAATGTCGGGTGGATGTGTATCTACAAAAAACGAAATTTTTCGTTATTGTATATTTCATATTTAACAGAATTGTTTGGAAGATTTTAATAAACAAACATTGTGAATTTAATATTAAATAGATTTAAATATGTAATGTAATCTTTTCTATTGTTGCAGTCTAATTTTCTAGTTATTATATCGCCTTTGCTTTTTCTCATTCCACAAATAACAACTAATTATAAAAACAAAATTTTTTTCAAAGAATATTTATTAGAAAAGTCTCATGTAATTTTACCAGATTTGTCAACTTATGATTGAAGAAAGGTTTAATTATGTTGTATATTGTTATGGCAGCTGGTGACATATTTATTAGATGTATTCCCTTAAAAGGCACTAGCACGATATCTTGAATATAATATAACATTTTCTTTAGTAATGCAAAGTTGAAACGTCCCACATGTCCTATTGCGAAGTCCGAAGCATTGCAGATATAAATATGTCTCGCTGTTGAACCGTGAGTCCATAAAAATTCGTCGTACATCATAAAAATCATTTTTGAAATTTTAGTGTGAGAGAAATGTGAAGGATTTATATCGAGAAGTTGGCTAAACGTTATATAATATCCCTCCTTTGTTGTAGTCTCTAACATAATGTGGGGCCTATTTTTAACAAAAATTAGTGTTAGTAAATATATAGGCGGAGAAGAAACTTTATATATATACAGGGTGTCCCACTCTCCTTCTCACATTAAGTGGAAATGTAGAACGGGTCGAAGTGAACATAAAAATCCTATACCGTTTTGCGATATTCACAGTGATAGTCGAGATATTAATTAAAAAAGATTGGTGAAAGTTCACGCGCGAGATGAGCTGCAGTGGCGCCGTCTGCCGTTGTATATTTATATATTAAATTAAACTGAACAAAAAAATCTCCTACCATTTTTTAAATGACCACATAGATTTTTAAATATTAAAGAATACTCTTTTAAATGAGATATTTGGTGACAGGTAAATAGGTCGGGGAAGCCCCTCGTTCACCTGATTTTACATCTTTGGACTATTTTTTATGGGGATATATATATATATATCAAAGAGGAAGTTACATCCCAATCATTTATGACGAAAGAAGACTTAAAACGAAGAATACGTACAGCTTGGACTAAGGTGACCCCAGAAATGTTGTTTAGAGTTAGGCAAAGTTTTGTAAAAAGAATTAATAAGTGTTTAGATGTTAATGGTCAACAGTTCGAACATTTAATAAAATAAAACAAAACAGAAAAACTATGAGTCTTATTTAATTTATTATTAATTTCAATGCATTCTACATTAAAGTTTAAATGTTTATAACTTTTGATAGAAGCATTTTCCAAAGAAATGTTTCAAAGTTTACTTTTTTTTCCCCGTAGAATTCAAATATGTAACATTGTATAGAAAGTCCCATTTGAAACTTTAAAGTTACCTCCCGTCCCTTTTCAAGGGGGGACGGAAGTGTATTTTTGTTTACGTAGTTAGAAAGGTCTCTCGAATGTATGAAACTTTCTCATGAACAACTTTTTGATAGGACAAATATATTTAGAGTTATTAGCTTGTAACACTTTACGTCGGCCACCCTGTATATATAATGCATATTACCGCAAGTATATTTTATGATTATATAAATAATAAATTACGCATATATTCAAGTCATTTATCGATCAGTATGAAGAAATATTGTACTTACATGACTTCAAAAGCATCTTGTTGTTTCAGTATGTCTCTGTTAGAAAATACTTCCGATATGTGAGTTCTATAAGTATAGTAATTCTCGATTGTGCTCTTTGTTGGCTCTATCTGATAGCAACTAAGATATAGAAATATGGCGAGCTCTATGTCTTGGATTTTCGGCAGATGCGGTTGTTTTTTGCACCATTCTCTTAGAATCTGTATATCTGACAACTTTAGTTCTGGATTTTTCTTTAGTTCTTCTTCGAGAGTAATATACTTTATGGGACACATCACTTAGATTTAGAACTCGTACTTTCTGTAAGGTTTTCACCAACTTCACTGTCACAAAACTGACTTATCTTATCTACCACTTCAGGTGAGCGTTTATTTATCAAATTCCTAAATTTTTAATTAACCGTCTTAATGGAAGATAATTGATCTTATTTGTCAAATTATGTAATAGGAGTGCAAATAAAAGTATTTAGTTATTGACTATTTTGCTTTATGGGGAAAGAAATATGCTATGTGTCAGATGTTTGCATGACTATCTCAGTTCGACGTTTCATGTGATACTGTTCGCTATTGCTTTGCTTTTATCGTAGCAATAAATCTAGTTTACTTCGCACTATACATATTAATGTATAATACTTACTTTTTCTAAATTTGCATTTTTCCTGGTTCACCTTCCACATTTTGCAAAAATGCTTAACGAGAGTTTATATAATGCGTAGTAGTTTATTTTAATAATTTATACGAAATATACTTGGAAAATATTAAGAGTAATAATTATAATCGGATATTATATTTAATTTATTTTATATTTAAGATCATCTTAAAGTTAACTTTATCTTCAGATGCTGTGTGGATCGTTTCATTAGCTACTAAGTATCTGAAGATAAATTTCAACTTCAACTTTAATATTTGGCTCCAGGCCTCTCTAAGAGTTATGCCCTAACGCCATTATTCCGATTTATGATATATAAGGTGTAGTAAAAAGAAATCCATTATTTTTCCAATAGATGGCTTTAATAATGTGTATCTCGCGTTGTATAAGTGCGATCACTTGCAAGGCGCATTCCAAAAAATCACAAGGTCCAAATTTGTTTGAACACGTCATGACGGCGGTTATAAAGATAAATTTAATGAAATAAAACTACATTCGAGAGTTTTCAAGGTCACTAATATATAAGAGAATTGAAAATCCCCATATAATGTTTCTCATGCCTTATTGAGTGAGCAAGGAAATCTTTAAAAAATAAAAATGTTCATCTTTGTACCCAGTTTTTTTGTGTTGGTCCGGACTTTTTCATATTTACTACATCAACTACAAGTTAAACATTTTCTTTTGCACGTTTGCAGCATTCTGTATCACGTCTTTGTTAAAATATATGACTGGAAAGATAAGAACAAAGTATGAATTCTTA